GAGGTGGGGCGATGAAGGGGGAAGAGGGGGGAGGGGAGGGCGGGGGGAGCAACTCACGCTATTACTCAGACAAGGGCTTCCGTAAGTGTAATTGCTAGTTGTCGCGGCGCTCAGCTTGTTATCAAAGGAGCCACCTGAACCCGCCGACAGAGACGGCGAGCTGCTGCTCCTCCTATTATCCGGAACGAGGCCGTCATTGGGTCCAGGTGCAGCCAGGGGGTAATCCAGGTCCAGATTGATGTAAGGGTCCACGTCAGCAAAGAAGTCCGCTGCAGGTAATTCCCCCTTAATTAGTTGTTGCTGTCTGTTTTGCTCCTTGTCTTTGCTGGCCACAAGCCGACTGGTGACTTCGAGAAGCCCCCCCCCGCAGACATCGTCCCCCGAGATCCCGGCTTTGGCGGCGCTCGCGGGCTTCGGAAGCAGCCAGCTGGCCGCCTCCGCCGCCGTCCGCTCATCGTCGTCCTTCATCAAGCCATCGCAATCGCTCTTGAAGTCATCGAGCGCATCCTCCCCCACGACTCCGCCGGCCGCGACGTGAAGCGCGATGGATTGATTGATATGCGCTACCTTGACGACGCTGGGGGCCTCGTAGAAGGGCGTGATGGGCACGCGCTCATGGCGCCGCGCTAATAGGTTAGCGGAATGCACTTCCCCGTCGCAAGCGAAGCACAGCGCCGCTGCGTCCGCCTTACACGTGACCACCGCGGGGGCCATTTCACACACCTCACACATCCATACTCTCTCGTGACGAGATGCCAGCTTGTTAGCTCCATGAACTTTGCTGTCACAGCTAATACATAGATAGGCAACGTCGGCACGGCAGTACACGACAGCAGTCGCCGTTTGACATGCATCACAGGGTTTTGGCATGTCTACCAATTCCTAGTGATCCGCCGCCTCGGCAGCTTACACCCTCCCTTCCTCCCTTCCTCCCTTCCTCCCTTTCTCCCTTTCTCCCTTCCCAATCACGTACGTACCTCCCAATGCACGCACCCACGCTCGCGTACAATGACTACTCCTCCAACCACACTCCCTTCTCTCTCTCTCTCTCTCTCTCTCTCTCTCTCTCTCTCCCTCTCTCTCTCTCTCGCTCGCTCGCTCGTTCGCAGTGTGTGTATATATTGTATGTAGATATATATATATATATGTGTGTGTGTGTGTATGTAGAAGTAATTACAATCTTTGTGTATAGCTAACGAAGTATGAGTCAATTACAGAGTAGAAGTTCGGTGCGGTGATAACTCCACCACAACCACGAACACAGTAGATGTGTACATATGCTAGACTAAGACAATTCCTTCCTCGGGTCGTCCTCTATTCGACTTCTTCCACCTCCCACCCTTCTCCTACTCCTCTCCTTTCCCGCTAACTCACGCCCACACAGACGTAGTAGAGTCCCCCCCCCCCTTTCCTTTCCTTCCCGGCCTGGGATGTCCCCGCAGTGCCAGTCTTTACACACAGACACGTGCTTTCCGACTCCCGCTCTCCTCAGCAATCATGCTCCAGCCGCTCGTCGACGCTGCCTGCCCCTCGCTCCCATCTGCTTACGCAACGGCCACCTGTACGTTCATTCGATCAATGTGTGCCACGTCAGCTCCGCCGCACGTGTATATTACGTATGCGCCTGTAACACTCACTACCAGCCTCTGCTCCACACAAGCAATTAACCCCCCCCCC